TGGCAGATATCATGGGAATTGTTCTCTGTGCTTTTCCTGCTAGGGATGTTTATTTTGAAGGGGGACCATCTGTTGCACGGGACTATGTAATTGTTAATTATGAGTATGTGTCGATTTTATTTTTGTTCTGTCTGTTATTGGTACTTGTTGTATTTGATTTGATAACTTTTGTTTGTTTGGCCCTGTGATTGAAGCATGAAGCCTATTATATTGACACTCTGGAATGAGTTCGAGGCCCTGGAGGGGACTGAAGAAATTGATGCTTTTTACTGAAAGATCTCCCTGGAAAACATGAGGATCTAGAGTTTTCGAGACCACGGGATCATACCAAATTTGCCTTCAAAGTGGGAATTTAAAATTGGGCATAAGAGATGAAGCTTGGTGGTGATGCCTTGTCGGCTTTCAAGCTCTGTCATCCCTTTTTTTCTTCCAAGAATAGTGAAAGGTGAGAATTTTTTGTTTTAATTTTGATTCATCAAGTTTGATAGGTGTCATTGTTTGTGTTGTTTGCAGTTGGTTTTTTTTTTGGTAATATTCTATGGGATTTTACTTCATCTGTTTGGTAGCTTGCTGTGTTGGGTTGAGGTTTTGGTTTGTGAATTTTGTGATCCAAGTCCCATAATTCTGGCTTCAGACGTTCTGAAATAGGTTCATGTTTTGAAATCTGAAATGGGCTTTTAGAATTTTTTTGATTTTAAGGAAATTTATTTGCTTTTGATGATGAAATTGATTATATCAGGCTCAAGGTTTTGAGAATAAGTTCCGAATATGTTGCTTCATACTGATTGCTAAAAAGGTTCCCATTTCTGAAATGATCTTAGTGTTGCATTGTTATAGTTCTGTTCCTATTTAGGAATGTTTCCTCAGTATTTACTTCCTCTTTTGTTGTGTTTTTCATGATTCAGCCATGCATAAAATAGGTTCTCATTTTTTCTAAGGTCGAGATGCTTATGTTTCTTAATTACCATTGGCATATCCCTTCACTGAATCTCTGGACAGGATTCATTGCAATTAGTTTTTTCCCTTTAAGGAATGGATTCTAATTTGTTATTCCCTATGTTGTTGCATGCTGAAGATTTTTGAGACTGGTGACAAAGCATGAGGAATGAAAAGTTGGGCAAAGAGCAGAAGATGGCTCAAGTTAAAGTTAAATTGCGAAAGGCCATGAATTGCCTCTGCTCAGGGGAACTTGCAAAAGCAGATGAAATGATCCCTTCTTCTGAATCACTTGCAACTAAAGATTGTTCCACAAGTGTTTATTCTTCTCAAGCTAGAGAAGCTGAAATGAAGCCTGATGCAGGCAACATTGAAGAGGTTGAATTGTCTCTGCGTGAGAGTGGTTCTTTGAATTATGAGGGGTTGTCAAAAGCTTTCTTTTCTGAACATCTTTTACTTAAGTTTTGCAGTTTCTTGCTTGTGAATGCTTTCTTAATTTGTGTTTTTTCAAAGTTAAACGATTTCTTGGCTGATCCTTTGCTTGCACTAATTTGTCCTTACTTTTCAGGAAGCTAGAGCACTGTTAGGAAGATATGAATATCAAAAGGGAAACATAGAAGCTACTTTACATGTTTTTGAAGGAATCAATATTGTTACAGTTACTCTGAAGATGAAAATCACACTTGCCAGACGAGGAGACCATCCCAGAAAACAATCTCAAAATTATTCCTCGCTGCCCATGTCATTACATGCTGTTAGTTTGCTCCTGGAAGCAATATTTCTAAAAGCGAAATCTCTTGAGGCTCTCAGGAGATATAAAGGTAGTTTTCAACTACTTGGTGAAACTTCAATCTGTTTTCTATAAGTCCATATCATACATTTCTGCTGGTTTTTTGGAGTTTTGAATGTCTTTACCTACTTTTGCTGCACTCTGATCATTCTTCTTAGATGTTCTTTTGATAGTGATGTCATGTTAAGACTACAGTACATTTTTTATTGCTCATAATTATTAGATTTTACGGTCACTTTCTTAAAATGCTTGTAAGACTTTTCCTGACATTTATTGCCCTTTTGCCAGATTACTTGGAAAATAGAGATTGCCCCCTTATTTTGTTATTCTCCCAGTACTGTCCCATGTATTACTATAATTTTCTGCTTCATGCAATTGAAAATTTGAACTTGGAGGGCTACCACAATCAAAACACCTTGACTCAGAAGTTGGATTCCAAAAGACTTTCTATAATTTCATGACAGAGATGGTGGTGTATTTCATTGTACTGGAATTTGTGGGCAATAGATTTACTACTACTGAAATTTTTAAATTTGCAATGCAATGGATATATAACTATTTAATTTGGTCTACCGACTGATGTAAGCGAGATCATTTCTATTGAATAACACTTATGCCTAGCTTTTGTACTTCCCTTTGTGTTTTGGGGGTTTGTATTCTAACACTGACATGCATGAATGTAAAGCTCTTGCTTTTTGCAAATTTTCCAAGTTTTCCTCTGTATTGGTGACAAAGAGAAGGAGGATTTCCAAGGCCAACACATAAATTTTTATTTTCTGGCTAATACATAATTCCTATTATCTTGCAGAAGCTGTTCAATCATGCTCAGTTATTCTAGACATAGTTGAATCTTCATTAGCAGCAGACTTGCCTAAAAACTTTGCTGCTGATTGTAAATTGCAGGAAACACTGAGCAAGGCTGTTGAGTTACTTCCAGAACTGTGGAAACTTGCTGATTTTCCCAGTCATGGAATCTTGATGCACACACTGTTGCCAGGATTCAAAAAGAGCTTGTTGTCTTTCTTCTTTACAGTGAAAGTGAGGCAAACCCTCCAAACGTGTGATCCCAAATGGACAGTTCTTTGTTCCTAGAAACAATATTGAAGAAGCTATTCTTCTTTTGATGATTCTATTGAGAAAAGTTTCTCTCAAAAGAATTGAGTGGGATCCATCGGTTTTGGATCACCTTACTTATGCATTGTCTGTATCAAGGGGTTTAAGGGCTTTAGCTTACCAAGTGGAAGAATTGCTTCCGAGGACAATAGAGCAGAAAGATAGGTATGAGAAGCTAGCCCTCTGTTATTATGGAGAAGGCGATAAATGGGCTGCTTTGAATTTGTCAAGGAAGTTGTTGAGTAGGGCGGTTGATCCGACATGTGTTCTAGCTTTGCTATTGGCTTCCAAACTTTGCGGGGACAGGAACTCTGCAGAGGAGTTTGGTTGAAGGGGAGATGGAGAGGAGGGGACTGTTGGCGTTGAAATGGAGAGGTACCTTTGAGAACCCAAATGGAAAAGACGGCGAGAAAGGTTAAAGAGGAAGAGATTGTAAGAGGAAACACCAGAAATCTAGCGGGCTTCATTGAAGGACTTCTCTGCTTCTCCATTGTAGTGGGTACTAATCATTGTAACTTTAATTAGGAAATAGTAGGATATATACTACACATTAAATGGTTTGGATTACAGCATTGCAGAGAATCAGTAGTCAAACTAGATTTGGTACCGTTAATAGGGAAAGGAGGACATTGCAGTGTCAACTTGAGAACAACTGATGCTTCTTTTACCAAGTCTCTTTGTGGGTTATATTATCAGAATCATTGCCAAATTCATGTAATGGAATAGATTTAAAGTCTCTGCACTTCCTTGAAGTTTATAGCACTTTGGATTATCAACCTTAATCTATATGACACAGTTCTATTTTTCCCTTTGTCAACTGCCATGCAAATTCATATTGATATACAAAAAAATAAATAAATTTGCATAACATGCTGGATAAAAGAAGAATGCACCGAAATTCAATCACTCCCTTGATCCTCATACTTGGCAGGGCATATTGTCTTTAGTTACCTACGCGCATCGCGCGTTTTATACCTCCTAGTAGTAAAAACAAGATGACTGCATGGAAAGGCAGGATATGGCATATACGTGAGTAGGAACAACAATATCATGGGAGGCGGTGGAGACGTTGTTTTTGTTGGGGTTGTCATCTAGTCGATATTCGTGTATGATCGAATCTGATAGCTGCCCATGGGGTGCTCGACCTTACTAGAAAACAATAGTCTTCCGTATTCCAAATCTTTTAGAGTTGCTGTAAATGACCTTGTCCCGACCCGTTGCCTTCCAAAATCCAGCCGCAATTGCGCAATTTAGTCGAGTCCCTGTGGGGTACCTTTTGCCTTTCTGACTGAAGAAGTACCAGTCGTTTTGTGGGGTGGATCCTATTCTGCATCTCTCTGATCCCATAAAATTAATTAGTTAATTAGTGGGCAAGCAAAATGTAGTTAAGAAATTAATTAAGTTTATGTTGAGCAGGAGCATCCCTTAACTACATTTTGTTTGCCCACTAATTAACTAATTAATTTTATGGGACCGGAGAAAAGCAAAATAGGATCCACCCCACAAAACGACTGGTAATTCTTCAGTCACAAAGGCAAAAAGTTCCCCCACGGGACCTGAACAAATTGCGCAATTGCGGCTGGATTTTGGAAGGCAACGGGTCGGGACAAGGTCATTTACAGCAACTCTAAAAGATTCGGAATAAGGAAGACTATTGTTTTCTATAAAGGTCGAGCACCCGACGGACAGCTATCAGATTGGATCATACATGAATATCGACTAGATGACAACCCCTACAACAACAATGTCTCCGCCGCCTCCCATGAGATTGTTGGTCCTACTCATGTATATGCCATATCTTGCCTTTCCATGCAGTCATCATGCTATTACTAAAAGGTGTAATGAAAATGCTTGAAATGAAAGCAGTCATCATGCTTTTATATTTTCCCTGCCTCAATTGATTTCATCTTGCATGCCAATGATATTTTTAGTTAGTTTCATGATGCATCAACTTCCAGATTTACCACTGATCAGGACAATAGAATACTTATTTCATTTTCTTTTTGGAATAAAAATTAAAATACAATATGTACAGGCCTCCAGTTTAGTTGGAGATCCAGCAAGCCCAGAAGAAGCGTGGGTCGTCTGCCTTGTTTACTAGAAGAAGAAGAAGAAAATTTACCATAAGGCTGTGAAAAGTTGCCAACACGCAGCTGCCTCCATGGATTCAAGAAATCTTGGGTATAGTAGTCCAGCTTCAGATTACGATGGCATTCTCGACGGCATCCTTGTATACATGGGTAGAACCTCTAAGCAGGAAAGTGGGGCAATAAGTAGTAATATCTTCGACAGCATTGATGATAGCCATAGCATGAAACCTGTGATTACCAGTAACCCAATGAACACTAGGGCCGTCATTATAAGATCCACATCATCGATAACATCTGGATCAATCTTCTTGGAGCCAACTTTCTTCTTCAAGTAGTAACGAAGGAGCTCCTACTCCGTAGGATGAAAACGGAATCCTGGAGGTACTTGAGACTGACCATTCACTGAAAGATTAATTTCTTCTGAAGGCACTTGAAATATATATATATATATATATATATATATATAGACACACACATATTACGAGTCTGTAATCGCAGCAGAGACAATGAGAGCTCTGAGGTGTGAGTGAAGTACAGAAAGATATTAAGAAGGGGGAAAAGGAACAACGACAGGAAATAGTAGTAAACAAGAAAGTGAAGCGATGCAAGTGAGAAAATAAAAGGCAAGGAGAATTATTATTTTGTTATGAAATAACAAGAATGTGGATGTCCCTTTGTATTCTCAAGGGGATTAATTCATGATTTTATGGCTACTTATGTATAGAAGTTACAATTCATAAATCCATTCATGTAGTGGAGAAACCGTTTCATAGGTTTCTTCATATTATTGTAGTAATGGATGTTTAATAAGATTTATGTACCTTTAATCTTGTAGTGCCTATATATAGAGGTACATTGAGACCCTTTGGGATGACTTTTGTATCTTGTTGAAATATAAGGATATCATTATCCCTTTCTCTACTCCTTTCTCTAATACTTCTTCAATTTCTATTGTAGTATTTCATTTTATTAATTTTATAACACGTTATCGGCACGAAAGCTCTTCTTTTGAGCAAAAGGTGAAAACGGAGGCGCTACTTTGAGCAAAAGTGAAGCACAAGATTTTGCCGAAATTCTGCCCGTATTTCTTCAAGTAACTTTTGAGGTAAATTTCTAAGTCACAATCTTATTTCAATTTTTTATGGCTAATCTTACAAAACAAGAGTTTGTACCTCTTGATATTTCTGGAAAAAATTATTTATCATGGGTATTAGATGTTGAAATCCATCTTGAGGCAATGGGTCTTGGTAATACTATTGTGGAAAAAATGAATCCTCAAACCAAGACCGTGCCAAAGCTATGATTTTTCTTCGTCATCATTTAGATGAAGGATTAAAATCAGAGTATCTTACTGTTAAAGATCCTCTTGTCCTTTGGCGAGATTTGAAAGAAAGATTCGACCACCTGAAGTTGGTCGTTCTTCCAAAAGCCCGATATGATTGGTTTCACTTACGGCTGCAAGATTTTAAAACTGTCAATGAATATAATTCAGCCATGTTCAGAATCACTTCTCAATTATCATTATGTGGCGAAAAAGTCACTGATGAAGATATGTTAGAAAAAACATTTTCTACTTTTCATGTCTCTAACATGCTCCTGCAGCAGCAATATCGAGAAAAGGGGTTTAAAAAATATTCTGAACTTATTGCATGTCTTCTCTTGGCTGAACAAAACAATGAATTGTTGCTGAAAAATCATGAGTCCCGACCAACTGGTGCAAGCCCATTCCCTGAAGCGAATGCGACCCAATTTCAAAATTCTGGTCGAGGTCGTGGACGTGGCCGTAGAGGTGGCCGTGGAGGATGCCGCGGACGTGGTCATGGCCGTGGACGTGATCGTAGTAAATTTGTGCCCCGTGAAAATTTTAACCGGGGCAAGCAACAAAATGTTTCCCAAAAGAAGGAAAATAACTACGATCAGAAAAATGGAGAAAAGAAAGTTTATGAAGAAAAATGCTACCGGTGTGGTATGGAAGGTCATTGGTCTCGTACCTGTCGTACGGCCGAACATCTTGTTGACCTCTATCAAGCATCATTGAAAAAGAAAGACAAAGGTGTTGAGACAAATTTCATTGATCAAAAGAATGATTATGATGATGGTGATGATGCTGACATGACACACTTCGATGTTGCTGATTTTTTTGAACATCCTGAAGATGTCAACAAATATCCCATGATTATTTAGATATTTTTATGATGCTTTATATCTTTCATGTAATTTCCTTTCCATTGAATATTTATTTTCGCATCTTTATTAATATTTATTTTTGTTTGAAATTTTCTTCCTGAAGAAGAAATGGATGTCAAATATTTGGGATTAAATAATGGTGATGATGATAGTTGTCTCATTGATAGTGCGACTACGCACACCATATTGAAAAATAAAAAATATTTTTCTTGTTTGAAAATGGGAGAGACAAATGTTAATACCATTAGTGGTAGTGCAAAATTGATTGAAAGCTCCGGAAGAGCCACTATATTTCTCCCTGAAGGGACTAAAATTATTGTAAATAATGCACTATTCTCTCCCAAGTCTCGAAGAAATTTATTAAGTTTTAAAGATATCCGTGAAAATGGATATCATATCGAGACAATGACTGAGATAAATGGTGAATTTTTATTAATCACAAGTATCATTTATGGGAAAAAATGCGAAATAGAAAAATTACCTTCTTTTTCTTCTGGGTTATATTATGCACAAATTAGTGCAATTGAAATTCATCACCTAGTAGACCAGAAGTCTACTCATCCCGATGATTTTATGATTTGGCATGATCGTCTCGGACATCCTGGATCTATAATGATGAGACGAATAATTGAGAATTCACATGGCCACTCATTGAAAAATAAAAAAGTATTAAAAGCCAATGAATTCTCTTGTGTTGCTTGTTCTCAAGGGAAATTAATTATTAGACCATCACAAATTAAAGTTGGGACTGAATCCCCTGCATTTCTAGAACGAATTCATGGTGATATATGTGGGCCTGTAGATCCACCATGTGGACCATTTCGATATTTTATGGTGCTAATTGATGCATCAACTAGATGGTCACTGACAAGTTGTCGAAACCTGTACAATAATAAAACCTGCTCAAACTAAAATTAATTTCTGTAGATAGTGGTGAGCAGGGTTGAATCCACAGGGATTGGGAGTAATTGTTTCTTTTCAAATTCACAGTGACAAGGGGGGTGTTTTTGTGCAGAAGGTGACAATCCAAGAAGTTCAACTAAAATCTAAAAAACTACTAAAAATTAAATAAAAAATTACTAAAATCAAATGAGTGATAATTAAGGATCTAGCCAAGGAATAACTTCAGCAATGGTTCACCTAATTGATCATCGATAAGCAAAGGCAATTCCAATTATTTACTAATAAATAGGTTATAACTGCCAAACAAGCGATGACAGTCAATCCCTCCTTACTGTGTCGATGATTAAGGTACGCCCGTTAATCACTGCTCTAATTGAAAAACAATCTTAGGTACGCCCATAGAATTTAATTCCCCAATTGCCTTACGTATTAGAAGAGCCCTATTCTAACCAAATAACGCACTACCAGGGTTATTTTAGATTAGCCCGCATATCCCCCTGACACAAACCCAATCATGTCAGTTATCACTATTTTGAGACAATTAAACAATTACGGATTTAACGTCCCAATTGACAATAGATTATCAAATTAACCAATTATCCGGATCCAAAACAATCAATTAATTAAACAATCATAAGCACTGCAACCAAGGAATATGCGAATACCAATAAATAAAAGAAAAAGATAAAATTAAATCGATCTCACAATTTTTAGGCGAATCAGAGCCTTCGTTGCTCCTTGACCAGAGTAATGAAATTTAATTAATCTCTATAGAGAAAATTCCATGCGAAAATTCAGCAATAATTGTCGAGAACATCCTTCTCTATATGATGAAGGAATCCGAATAATTAAGAATGAAAGAAAAAGTACAAAGTGGAAGAGGATGCTAATGTCTTCTCCCTAGCCTCTAGCCAGGGGCTTACGGGATTAATTCCCCAAGTGAAGTCACGGCTGCCCCCAACTCCATTTGTTGCTTTTATTTGTTTCGCTCTTGCGGCCGACCCTACTCCCAAAAGCACTAGAGTCCTAATCAAACTTTGGCTTTTTTCTCTCCCGCTGAGCTGCCAAAGTAAGTTTCCTTTCTATGCTAAACTTCTGGACTTGTGAAGACCTGAGTTGACACGACCCCGCCAGACAGCACTTGGAATGCGAGATTTTCACCCATTTTATTATATTTTACTCCTAGTCCCTATGATAAGTACAAATGCCAAAAATGAATAGAATCTGACAATTAATCCACATTGGATCAAGTAATAGGGGAAATTAATAATAAAATAAATAATAAAATTACACCCTATCAATTCCCCCACACCTAAACCATGCTTGTCCTCAAGCATAAGAACAGTAGACAAATACCAATATTTGACAATGGCTATTGCTCTATCCAACAAATTGCCAAGATACCAAGAAAAATAATAATCAAGCATCAATGGTCAAGTCCAAGAAACATCACTCCGGTTAGCTTCTAAACCACAAACTTCTCTAATTTCAGGTTAACTAATCTAAGAAAAAGGAATGACGCACAACGTTTATCAACAAATGGTCCAACTATTAACCAAAATCTCAACATTAAATCCATAATTCGGCAAGCTGACTTTTATTACACACTAACACAACCTTCACTTTTTTTCACATTTTTTCCTACTTTTCTCTCTTTTTTTTATTCTTTTTTTTTTCAATAGTAACAAAAGACTTAGTCGCTAGCCATTTGAGCCTTTTGACGCGAACTCCAACATTGGCCAGATGAAGGAGCCCGGTTACTCAGCTTCTATCGTCACGTGACCACGTACTCATAGGAATTACTACCTTTTGACGCGAGAATCAACACTTTTAGGTGCAGATCCCCGGTTATTCAGTAGTAACTAATAGCGGAGTACAGTCAAATTTATTCATAACTAAAAATCATAAAAACTTAATATAACACACGAACCAAAAGAAAACTTGCATCAGCTAGCCTCATTTTCAAACATGGAGAGCTAAAATTAATAACCGGACCAATTCACATGAAAATGCCAATAATCATTCCCCATGCCTAGGAAAGTTAACCAAAAATTATAAGAGTAAAACAATCATCGATATTCACCAAAGAGATGTTCTTGGATTCAACCACATTAACTTGATACCCTTTTATTATTAAAACTTGGCAAAAGTAGAAATAGAGGCAATAATCCAACATCAAATTTTGGCATGCACTTACGAGCCAATCACTAAAAAGAAGAAAAAATGAACAAGAGGTGGACAAATAACAAACTAAAAATAAAAAACTAGTATAGCTGTCCCCCCCACACCTAGATCCTACATTGTCCTCAATGGAAGGATTAAAGCAATTAAAGCGAAGAGGGCAACGGAACTTCCCTCACGAGTGGCGAAAGGATAGGAGGGAACAGTGGAGGGAAGCCGAGTTCTGAGACATCCTTGCCACTTGGCGGGTGATGTTCGTCATTCGTTCATCTACGTTGTGAACCTGTGCTTGTAAGTGGCGCCACTCACCATTGACGCCAATTATCACCCCAAACAACAAAAGACAGAATATCCAACAAAGATAGCAATCACCAACGCACATTCATAGTCACCGGTGCTCTCCAACTCAACAATTAAAGGCAAATACGGGCCATCCAAGCCCAAATATGGTCAACAAAGCAACAGTTGCACTCCAAAACTAACAACCAGCAATTATCATCAACAACTAAAAACTAGCAAGGTCACGTCAATAAGCACAGGGGCTACCCAAATCAGTCAGTCAACAAGCAAACTCGGGCCATCCATACTCTCAACAAATGCATTCTAAAATTTCAACAAATGCCTCCACCAGTCAAACCATAACAACTGCCCCAATAATATGTTAAATTCAGCAATAGAAGTGTAGAAAATTAGCAATAGCAACACAGTCACACAGTCTTGCCAATTGATCAAATATCCAACCAACTAGAGTTAACAAGTTCCAGATAAAATATTCCAATAATAGCACTTAAAGACTCAACAAATGCCCCCAGCAGTGGACCTTAAGAAGTGAACAAGCCAAGCAATAGTAGTGGAAAACTCTGACATTAACAACTGAATCTCAAACCCCCCAGCTTCCAAGCAGTCAGCCAGTAAAGTCGAATTAATCTAGTGGAGTCAAAATACCCACAGAGTTGATGAAACAATTCCAACGGCTGGCCCAAAGTAACGAGAACTCCAACTCACAGTCAAAAGTAAACTCGGTCCAACTAAAATTTCAACAAATATCCCTAGAAATTTCAACAAATGCTATAGCAGATCAAAGCAGTAGTAAAACAATAGCCCCAAGTATGTACTAATCCACCAGTTGGGAACCCCGGCCACTGAGGTCACAGACAATGGTCCCAAAATAGCAATATTAACCAATCACTAGGATGTCCCCAACAATTAAACGAAATTCTACTACCCTCAACAAGCAAATCAAGCAGCATAGGCTCCCAATTCAACAAATAAAAGCAGGATTGATCAACTCAAAGTCCCAACAGAAAGCTCAATTGATTCCAATCATCAAACCCAGTAACATACATTCCAAATAAACAAGCGAGTGTTAAGGAAAGGAGGTACCACCACGTTGTGCGAAAGAGGGGGCGTGAGGTGAGAGCGTGTGCAGCGAGGTGGAGGCTGCTGCTGCGGAGGTGGCGTGCAGTAGCGGGGGCAGCGGAGCTCAGCAGAGCTAGAGGGAGATGGAAGGAAGCCGCGCAGTGGGCGGCGGATCGAGCTTCAGCGGCGAACAAGCTGGAGTGGAGGCGGCGTGGGTTGCTCGGCCACGGTCTCGTGAAGAGAGAGAGAGAGATGGGAGGGGCGCGCCTCGTGCGTTGAAGCAGCAGTGGCTGCGCAGAGGGTAGCAGCTTGCGATGGCGCGCGATGGCAGCTCGCGATGAAGATGGTGGTGGCGCGACTGTGGAGACCGAGGAGGAGCCGACAGTGGGGCACTGGTGGTCTGGGCAGCGGTGGAAGAAAATAGCCGCGGCTGGCGGCAAGAGCAGAGGGGCGGCGCGCGGCCATCAGCGTGGGCAGCATTTGCGACCGAGGGGGAAGAGAGCCACGTAGTGGCGGCGCGCGGCGAAGAGGGAGGAGGTGCGGCGTTAGGCTGC